GAAAGCTGGATGATCTTACCCGGCATCCTTCGGAAGGAGCCCGTTCGGAACAACTTTTTGCAGGGAAAGCCAAGTGGGACTCGCGTTAACGACAGTGAGTCTCGCTGTCTAGTATATTGAATATTCGATGTTGATAGACAGGGCACAGGAGTTGTCGTGCCTCGTAACCTAGTCTCATCGAAAAAGCTCATCTAAGAGGGTTTGCGCACACGCGCCTGAACACGGGAATTTCGGCCAACAACCTGTTATTTCCCACTTCCCTCTTCGGCGAAGCTTCCCAGCCTCCCAGGATCCCATTTCACAATCAGTGCTTCTCCACCGGAACCCTTGGACAGTTATCTTTTTTTCTCGAATGAAGAGGACTGACTCGCCTTCCGAGCCTTCCTGGCCGTGCCGGGATCCACCGTCCGAAGTGGATACTCTTTCGGTGACTTTTCCATACCCCGTGAAAGCCTCTCTCTCTCGGCCTCTAATTACCATTTTTCTCAGCCTTGCAATGAAACCAACAGCGGGATTTGATAAGACCAATTCAGGGTACCCCTGAGCACTGGAAGTATCACTTGAGAGATGAAAAGAGACACGGAAATCACCACGCCATGTCCTTTTCTCAGGGTTCTCGGCAGAGGCTAATCCGTCGATCATTGTGGGGCCGGGCTGTCCAGAGACCCTTAACGAAGAAAAAAAGAAAAAAAGGAGAATACAAAAAAAAAACAAAGAAAAAAAAAACCAGAAGGGGCATTCACACACACGGCGCCTAAAGACCTCCAATCAGTAGTACGGGATACATCTGATGAAGAGCCGGAATCTTGTATGCCTGGAATTTTGCGATGTTTCTAAAATGCTACGTAGTTCCTTGTCTTTCAAGTCGAGAGTCAAGATGTGCAAGTGAAGCTCACTCCCAGCTTAGTCCCACGACTTTCCACCGAGACTGCTACCGTGCGAGGTGGGTGTGTATAGCCAGCAAGTGACCAGTCCTCACGTTCAGATTTGATGGTCAACTCAAGCCAGAACAAGAACATACGTCTTTTCGATGTGGAGAGATCGTCACTCGATGGCCATCATCCAAGAAGCACCCGGCAGAGAGAAAAACAAAGGCATTTCTTGAGCATACTGTTGAAGCCAGCAGAAGTTTATGCGCTACTTTTTGGCCATTATAATAAGTCACGACGAACGATCGAGATGGTTCACAACCTCGAATATCTTGACCGAGACAGAAATCCACCGGGCGAAAAGGGAAGCTCCAAGCCGAAGAGGAAACTTAGCCCCTGAAGGAACACGGTGCCCCTAGTTGAACTTAGGTATATGATCAAACGATGCCGGGTTTCTTCGAGAGTATAAGGACTCCTCACTGGAAGAGAGTTGATGTCCTGTCACTGTAGAGGAGTTGGCGACGTAAGCCGGAGAGAAAGGCTGTAGATGGGACTCAGATCCCAGACGGAGAACAAAATAAGATGATCGCGCCCGGAACACAGAATATCATACCAGGTCCGAGAGATCGATTCAAGACAAAGTCATGGCCTCTCTTATTAGTGGCGAGTGAGAGCGGCCAAGAGTGCAGCCGAACGCCCCGACTACCTGGTACATTTACGTGAACCACATTTCGACATCTGCCTTATTTCGACACTCTTTTTCGCCCACTCTGTATGCAAACATGAAGAACAATGCCGACTAGCTACCGTGGTACAATCATCCATAATCATTTTTCGTCTTCATCTTACAAGGTGTACATGAGAGCTCCAAGCTCAGCCCGTCATCCAGGCAGCAGCCCTTCTGGCGCCAAACGTGGTGGCCAGGCGCAGTCCACTCGAGCCCATGGGGAAGTAGCTGACTAGGTACCAAATAAGGCAAGCCAGTTGGATGACAGCCGAGATCAAGGTCAAAATGGTGCTGTGAAGCTATGTCGGAGTCAGCCGGCGTGCTTTCGCCTCGTAATGATGACAACGTCATGGAACTTACACCGAGAGAGAAGTACATGGAAAGCCCAAGCGATCCGAAGTAGGCAGCAGTGAAAGGCAAACGCTGGCCGGAGACAAGGTGTTTCACGTACGCCATCGGGCCCATGACGGCCGCGAAGGACGCCAGGAACAGGAGGGAGCCAAGTGTCCATCTGGAAAATGAGAATGTTAGCAACAGGTACGCAACTCGAAGATGGCGAACGCGAACGCCGTATCAACGCCAAGCCCTCCGAGAGGCCTCATCACGCCGTTCGATCACCGGATAAGGTGTTCATAACTAGCTCGCCATGCAAGATCATCTGGCATGAAAGGCGGGTAGATAGAGAGGGGCAAGGCTACATTCGGGTACGGCATAATAGGTACCGATCCAAACACACCTTTGTCGATCTGCCGCGCCGGCAACTAGCCGGGTTGATAAGCACCCGTGGGGTGATCCTCCACGGAAGCACGGAAGAGAGCAGAATCGCTTACGACGAGGCAAAGGGCAGAAGTTGGAGAGAAAAGGGAGCGAGGAAACTCACAGAATCACAAACTTGCGCGGCCGCACCGCTACTACCGGGAACAAGGCGAAGCAGATGACGAAGCAGGCAAGGGCGCCCAGGTTGCAGGCACCAAAAATGAGTAAACGATCCCATCGACTCACTGGAAGTGGAATATACAACGTTAGCATGGCTGTTTCGGAGAAGATGAAGCGGACACGACAACACCACCTCGTAAACCCGCCTGCTCACATGGCAATCCGAGACATGGGAAATCCACAACTAGAGGCCATGCCAGTTGCAGGGGAGCTGGAAGCTCAAGGATGAAGCTGCCAGAGGTGGTGGGACGGCGAAAGCATACAGACGAAATGACTCACGCGTTGCGAAGCCCTCCTCCTCTTCTCTCCTGTTGGCAGCAGGCAGAGGCGCGCCGGCGCCCTCGGTTGTTGGGAGCTGGATATAGCTGTTGTTTCCAAAGGGGTTGAGGGACTTGATCGAAGACATGAGACCGGACTGTTGCGCCGTATTGACGGGCACGTCCTGGTCCCGTCTTGACCAACCCAGTGAGTTCATCGAGTCTCTGAAAGAAGCGGACGCCATCGTAACGGTGGGATATGGGAGCCGAGAGATGCAACTATGACGTGCTAGACGCAGGTGTCGTTACTCCCGCGGAAACCAGATAAATAGCAAAAAGATGCACGCAAGAGCGGGAGCGTCCTCTCTGTGAGTCGAGCAGTATGTGGTCAAGTGACAGGCGGCCCTTGACAGTATCGGGGGCAGTCCGCTTGGAGTCGAGTTGCGGAAAGGCTGCTATTGGGTGGAGAGCGATTTCGGGGTGGCCTCCGTCGAGGGTGCTGGGAGAGCACGGGAGTAGATGACTGGTATAGCGCGGCAGATGAGCGTCAGGAAGACGGGTGTTGAGCTGCTTCTCCACAGCCAAGATGGTCAGCTTGGTTGATATACAGGGTCATGGCCCATGATGGAGGGGGAGTCTCGAAAGGCGCATACGATTAAATGTGCACAAGAAGGTGGGCTATTGAGAGACCACCTGTTCGGTTTGTGATGCGACGTAGGCTGGTCTTGATCTCTTGGTGGTGGCCTAGTGTCCGCGCGTACCGCACCGTGTCGTAATAACGTAAGTCTCCGAGGCAGACGCAAAGATGAACGCGAAGGCGAAGGCGAAAAGGCAAACGGCGAACGGCCTGAGGATGGAGGGGGGCTAAGGCGGCTGGTACACGAGGTTGATAGCTTGATGAAGGGGGTGGGGAGGTGATGGAACGGGACGGAGGTTGAGAGAGAGGCAGTCTGGCAGAGGAAGCAAGGCAGGGTGAGCTTGAGAATGTCTCAGAGCGAAGCAGCGCAGGTGTACCAGGTGCGGTTGAATTCGGCCAATCAGCGGCTGCATCCTTCCCCGGACACACAGACCACCTGTCGGCTGGAAGTACGTACCCATGATCCCCCGAAACCCGGTCTTTCAGCCAACCAACACAGCCACCAGCGTTATCGAATTTCTGGTCCAGCACCTCACCACACACTCACCTTGAGACCTCGACACACTTGAGAACATCCAGTTTCATTTCCTCAGAGTCTGGGTGGGTCCACAAGGTCATTCTTATCCTTAATCGGCAGCACATGATTGGAAGCCTTCCCCTACTCCACACCCAACCCGACCTTCCAGAGGCGCTTTGCAACCTTTACATTGGCGCAAGAACCGCGATTCTGACAGGTTCACCATCTTCTACATCGTTGATACAGTGCGGCTGCAGCTCTGAGACTTGCTGCTGGTAGCCGTGCAGGAGGGGGAAAGTCGAGGCCGCATCGAGTAGGTGAAGGCCACTTGGGGTAGGATTGCCGCCGGCACTCACTGCGGAGCGGGCGATCACATCTTGGCCAGGGGTGGGTTTTCCCAGCAGATATTCGTCCTATTATGCCGTAATGGTGGTGGTGATGATCTGAAGAGGAGTAAAACGCTTGGGAGACAATGTTTGGGATATTTGTCACTGCCGCTGGCGCCGCCCATCTAATCACGATACTCTTCAGATGTTGAACCAAGTTCGCATGTATCTTGCGTCAAGAGCCCAAGTTACACACAGTATGTGTACGCCACAGGGGACAAGGTTCGAGAGTGGTGCTTGACATCACAGCGGCGGCCTCTCGATTGTCTAAGGTGCTTGCCTGACAGAGGCATGAGGGTGTGTGTGTGCATGTGTGTGTGCTACCCCAAGCGGGATATACCCAAGATATCAATGTATGCGACAAGACGGCGGTCAGGCTCTTTGTCTTTCTGTTAAGCGAGTTATAGTCGAGGCAGAAGGCGATAAGGCAAAGGTTGGAGGCGGTGAAGATGTTTGCACCCGTTCCAGATGTCGCGAGTTTCCAAGCTTCTGGCACACACAAGCCTTGTATCGACCTGGTGTGATATCTCAGATTCGCGGATAAGAGCTCTCCCTTCCATGCCTGAACTGAATGCCAACAAGCCGACATCTTGGGCGTCGACAAGGCTTCTCCTAGTAGGAATGTGTTTGCTGGCGGGGTTCGCGCAGGGCTCCAGAGCTACGTCGTCCAACTAGGAGTCAAGCCGGCCATGGACCATGAGCGCCATGGGTAAGGTGTTCTGCGGGGTGAATCGAAAACTGGTTTCTAAACAAGGCAATGCGAAATGAGACAGAATCCCATATCTAAGCCAAGGGCATTCTGGGGCGTTTCTGGCCTCGGGTTCCTGGCCGGGCAGTCTAGGAGCCATGGAGCAGCCCAGTTTTAGATGAGTTCGTGATGTCTTCTTTTGAGGGAAAGCCAGACATTTCAAGTGCATGACCACCTTATTCCTGCCGATCCTTAAGCAGGTCCCGATGAGCGTCGTGAGTCGTCGCGGCCGGCGCGGGTCCAGTAGGTGGGTTAGTTGTCTTAGCCGTCTGACTTGGAGGCATCACGGGGTCCGGGCTGCCCTCCATCTCATCCCGACTCGGACCAAGAGGCTGGCAAAACGTCCCAGTGAGGATAGAATGGGGGTGCCACCCCCGGAATATGGGACGAGTCAGGAGATGCAAGTGAAGTGACAAGCCTCATCCAGATGATATACGGAGTAGTGTGTGTTAATAGAAGGCGGTCTTGATATAAATGCTAGCGCGTTTCCCTCTGTACCGGAGAGAGAGAGAGAAAGGAGGAGGAAAGAAGAGAAGAGGAAACGATTGAGCAAACACAATCTCAAACAACAGAAACGACCGAATCTCGACTCTCGAGTTACGTGGGAAAACACAAATCAAGAGGAGGTAGGTGGAGATGCCCCGTTCTGGGAGTTGGCAAACGAAACAGAACAGACAGGACCCAAGAGGGAAACGAGAGTTGACAAGGGAGGACAGAAACAACCAGCCGAGATCCGGACCCAATACCCAATACCCAACACCAATGCATCAGAGGCCCCAAAATTCCTTACCTTTACCTCGACTCACCGACGCACAAACCATCGATACAAGACACAGTAGGAACGCTCTCATTCGTACCAATACAGGCTCACCATCGCAACTTATCAACACCGACCTAGACGCTGGGATAGTAGAGCAAAGAGACCAGGAAGTACGAAGTAGACAATACCTACCTACCTACCTTACACACAGTCGGACATCACCGCCCGGGTTCTCTGGAAAGTTGGAACGTTTGAACGTAAACTTGGTCACTGCTTAGTGATCCCGAATACGTTTGCGCGAGTTATCCAAGATTTCCCAAGCCGCCGGGTCCGAAACCCCTGCGCAACGGCGTCGACAATTCGGGGAGCTCTCACTCCGGTCTTTTCTCAGAGGAGAGCACGTTGCGTCCGTCTCGCCGACGACCCTGTTCCTTCCTTGCTTCTGGACCGACCGGGAGCTTTGCTCCAGACATCGGCAGGCCGAAACCTAATTTTGCCTACAGCGCCAGCAAATAACGGCGACACTTGGAGCGACAGCAATCAACCCACTTACGCAGTAGGTCCTATTTCGAGAGACAAGTACTCTGTACTATTCTCTGTACTCCGTACCTACCTCTCCAAACCAAGTTGGAAAGAACCTAAGGCAACGCGTTCTGCCTGCTTGCCTCTTCTATCTTGCTCAAGACACTGTCTTGTGCCCTGCTTTTCCGCGCAAGAAATCACATCTGTGTCTACGACACTACCCTGATATACCTTACCTTGCTACGAACACCAACCTCACTCACCTTCGCCCTAGCAGTGTGCGAAAAGACGCGCATCTAGCGATCGACAGGGATCACCGCTCACTACCACTCCGAGCCGGTTTCCGACTCCCATCTTGGCCCTTTCTCCTCTGCAGGCTTCTCCAACTCTCCAGTTGCACCTGTGGACCTTTACGGTGTACCCGCACACAGGCCGCATTCCCCACGGAGGAATTATTTCGTCCTACCTGGAACAAACACTCCCAAAAAACCGCCCCCAACCAACAATACAGGAGACCCCAGAAACCGCTGCACGTCAACCGCACCGCTTTCCCGGGAACTACCTATCCAAGTGAGTAAACGCCACTTCACTTTCACATCAGACATTATTCAAACTAACCGCCCGGTGTTTTTGCGTTGAAGATCCAGAGAGAAAGACATACTTGGTCACTCCCTTTTCCTTCTCCTCCTTCTCCTCAACAAGGTTGGTACACTGCTTTGCGCATCCTCCAATCCCCTCCCCCTTCCTTATAATGTAGCCTTCCTCACCCCCCTCGTTGAGTTGTATTCCACGACTCAGCCTCACAGCCGCTTCTTCCGCCACACATTTATTATACATGGCATCCCCGCCCTCTTCCGTTCACTCTCCTTGCATCGCATCCATTCACTTGCTCTTCTCTACCTCCCTTGTTCCTTTCACTCCTGTGTCGCGGATATCATATCTGACTGGCTCAAATCCAAGCAGTCGACTGTCACTGTAAAGGGTCCGACAACCACCGCAGCAAAGAATCCCACCTGTCTCCGACCCGTCCGAACCGGCGGCAACCCATTTCGTCCGTCGCACTTTCTCACGCACTCTCGAGCGTCACCGCCAATACTTCAATCCGCCATCCCGCCTACCTATACTAGTGGGCACTTCACAGCAAGCAAGCAGACCAGGAAGCAAGCATCAGCAGTGCCAAGTACGGTAGCAATACCAAGAAATCAGCACACCATCTTTTCCTGGTATTGGACCCCTCCCTTCTCTTTCTATCGACAAGAGCTACTTTCCACCACCACCACTACCACCACCACCGTTATCCTCACGCTCACCTCTATTTCCTTCTTGTGCAACGTCAAGCGTCAGGCGGAAAGCCGAGCCAAAGCGTTGTTCTCGTCACCTCTCGAAAGGAACAGCAGCTACCGTGTAAAGTCGGGAGACTGACCTGGGTGAATATTACCCACCACCCATATTCTTCTGTAAGTCAGCATCCGTGTCCCATCACTGCACCTCGTCCGTTCTCCTTCGCGTTGCTCTTATTCCCTTTTCGCCCCTCGGCCCACGGACCGGACTGCAGACATGTCATGCTCGATAACACAAGCACACCTCGAGGTCCTGAACCACAAGTTGTCTTGTCCCATCCTGGCAAACCCTGCCTGCTGTGAACCCCTTCACGACCCCTTGTCTCTGGGCCTGGATCACCCAAGCCTTGAGGCGTGCTTCACACCGTCAAAAGTATCCGTATTCATTCCAGCAGAGGTGTTCTAACCTCCCTTGCAGCGGACGCGTCCCATTTTTATTTCCTGAGCAGACGCAAAAGACGCTGCACCTCCGTCACCAACCAAAGATAACTCACCGACACGAGCTTTACCTTTTCGCTCCCCCACAGCTTTGGTAGAGGTAAGGTGAAGCCGAAGAGGGTCCTCCCCAGCCCCAGTCCCAGTCCCAGTCCCAGTCCCAGTCCCAGTCAGTCCCCGTCCGTCCCCGTCCCCGATTCTTCTTTCCCCCCAAACCTACCTTACCTTACTCACCCTAAGGTACCTCAAGTACAAGGTACTTAGGTACCCCTCGCCTCTTCCCCCGCCCTCGCCCTCGGCGTCTGGCATCGGTCTCCCGCATGGGCTTTCCTTAGCACCCCTCCCATGTACGAAGTACGGATAATCGTGCACTTTAACAAATACTTGACACTACACACGTCCTTCTCGTTCAACACAGTCCTAAACTAATTATTCCCCAGCCCAGTCCAGTGCAGCCGTAGCGCCCAGCCCCGAGGCTCCTACACCAACTTCTTACTCATACCTACTTTCGCTCACCCGCAGCCCGCATCGCACCGCCTGCGCACCACACTACAAACCCCCGACTCCCCGACAACGCATTTCCATCGCAACTTGTCAAGACTCAACTCTCTCCTTCTTCTTCTCCTTCTCCTCCTCCTCCTTCACCTCACTCCAAGACTCGACAAACACTTGGTCTTCTATCGCTTGTCTCCGCTCCTGCGAACCAACAGGCAGCGATTTCCTGCTCATCTTTATACACTTGTGCGACAGGCGACCTAGATCGCAAACCTTGCCTCGCTTACTCCCACACTCTCGCACTCTCAGTCTCTTTCGCGCGCACACACATACGCACCCCTCTTAACCGCCTTTCGGCTCGCTACCATCTACGACGCCGGCTTCCCTTACTTAGGACGCCATCCCCGCACCTTCCATATCACTGTAGTGAATGCCCGTGTAACAACGGTTTTGTGTGCTGTCGACCAACATTACATATTCCCGGCATTTTCCCTTTTGCTCGGTGAGTCAGTCCTGCCTTGGTCGCGCCCTCCTCCTCATACTCGCATTCCTCTCCCGCTCGCTCTCCCTGCCTATTTTGCCTAGGTGGCGTTCAAAACTGCCTGGGCCTGTGCGGAGAATATCCGCATATACAATCCCCGGTTCGTGTCTGCCCGAAGCAAAACTGCGCGCAGCGAACCTCGGAGCACCTTTGATTTGCGCAACCTGACCATCATATTCGGCCGCAACGCTGACGAGTCAACTCACTACAGCTCTAACCTCTCCGGGTCAAACTTTCTCGAATCATTCCAGCATAACAGCGCAGCCTGCAACTACGCTTCTTGACGAAAGAGGCGGTGTGAGCACTACAAGGTCAGCGAGACCTCGCATCATCGCCGATCCAGCATATCCTTGAGGCGGATTCCAATTAACGCCGTGTCAACAGTACACACAATGGCACAGCACGGCTTCGGCCAGTTCAACGGTGGCCACGGTGGAGGTGGTGGCGGCAGCATCGATCCCAACGACTTGGCCATGGGCGGAAACTATGGATCATCCTACTCCAACAACTACAACTCCAACTCGGGGAACACAAATGGGTTTTCGAGCGGCTCTGCCCTCTTCGGAGACGATGAGCTACTCGACGGCCTCGGAAGCCCGACCGAACAGCCGCTACATGGCCACGGCCAGGACTTTGGTAGCGGAATGTCAAACATGGATATGGGCTTCAACCAACCCATATACGGCTCTCATCATGGCCTAGACCAAAATCACATCAACGGCTACTCCAACACCCCCGACGGTGACCCCATTCAAAGCCCTTTCGTGCACAGCTTCAACAACTCGGGATTCGCCCAGATGCACCACCGCCAGGCCCTCGGCACGTCGCTTCAGTCTCCCATCTCCTACTCGGGCTCGCCCTTGGCTGGGTCGGACCTCACTGGTGATGCTGCCGAGACCAACTACCTCAACGCCAAGAACAGAGCTAGAATGGCACAAGCTATGCAACGGAAGAGCTCATCTTCCAACACTCGCAGCCCCATGACTCCCAAGTCAGCAATGCACTCGGTACCCATGGCAACCCAGGAGTCTACTGGCTTCGGTCCTCAATCCATCCGGGCTCAAGGCATGCATGAGAAATCACCATCAGGAGGTCAGTGGATGCAGACCCCATCGGGAAGCATGGCGGCGTCATATGGCTCTGGCTTCTCGTCGCCTATTCAACCCGGCCTCGCTCAGCTCAACGAGGTCATGATGAAGGGTGGCACATCGATGCCCGCAAAGCTGGGGGCTCAGCCAGGTGGTGCGGTTTCCTCTCAAGAGATGAAGCGCAAGCGGCGTCGGGAATCTCACAACCTTGTCGAGCGACGACGCCGAGACAACATCAACGAGAGAATTCAAGATCTCAGCAGACTAGTTCCCGCCCATCGTTTGGAGGATGAGAAGATCCGCAAGATGATCCAGAACGGCACCCCGCTCTCGCCTACATTGTCCGGCATTTCCAACCCCTCTCAGGCCACTTCGGGTCTTGCTGGTCCTGGCGCACGCCGCGCAGCTGGCGCAACAGGCAATATCACGACCGGCCTCCCCCTCGAGGACAAGGACAAGGGTCCCAACAAGGGAGACATTTTGAATGGCGCAGTCAGCTGGACGAGAGATCTAATGTGGATGTTGCATCTGAAGTTGCAGCAGCAGGAGGAGTTGATGAACGCCATTGCGGAACTCGGCGGTCATTTTCCATTCGAGCTCACTGAGGATGAGAAGCGTATGCAAACCGAGTTGATGGAAGCCATCTCCAAGAACGAAGTTCCAGGATACTCTCGCACGACCGGATCTGGTCTCCGGGTACCCCATCACACCGACTTCCGCGGCGAGCCCATGAATGGCTCAGGCAATGTTGGTGACGGCACTTCTGTCAGCCCTGGCGCTACCAACGGCACCGGTCTCGCCAACGATCTCAACGCCGGCAGCGAATTTTGGAATGATCCGGATGATGACGACAGTGGTCCGACCTCGCTGAACTTCAAGGAGGAAGACGAGTTTGGCATGGACCTGACACAGTAGGACGGATTGTTAGAACCCATGACGATTTCCCCGTCGTCTTCATTCTGATCCTACCATGGTCATCTTCTCCTTTCAAGTTCCCGCTCTTTTTATGCATTCGCGCAGCCATGGTATCTTTGTTGCATCCAAGCGCGTTGGGGCGGTCAAGGATTTCGGTGGGCGACGGCGTTGAGAGGTCTCTTTTCAGTTACATGGGCGGCCAAAGGCTTACCAACAGCCAGTGAAGCACAACGTGGAGGAATGAGATGTGTTTTGGTCGAGCCGGCTCGGGGTTTACTCTTTTCAGGTTTTTAAGGTTTTCATATTTCGTTTCTGTTTTCTGGGTTTTTCAAGCATCATCATCATCTATCGGGAGACGTGATACCTCTGGGTCCGGATGGGCATTGCACAAGGTCTTTTCTTTTCTTTTTAGGTCATCTCTAATTCGCAGGGCGGGCGGGCATGGGGGATGGTTCGCGGGTTCAATATCTTTCAGGCAATCCTTTTCCCCACACTTGTTCTTACTCCCTGTCCTGGGATTATTTCTACAAATCTCTTCTCTCAATGCTTACACGCAGTCTCAGGTTCAACACATCTGCTTGGGATCCCTTGGTTTTGTTGGTTGGTTGTACCTTGGCGTGATTTATCTTCCAGATTTCGCGTGTCCATTTGGCGTTTGGCATGTCAGGGGAAAGTAGCTTCCACCTGCTTGCTGCCTCTTTTTCCCGCATACATACAATGATACCCTCCCTTCCTTTCCATGACGTACAAACGGCTGGCCTGCCGTACGTTCTTCTACGTGATCACACTAGCACAGTGCCGCGATTCATCTCTCTTCCCATGCTCTTCCCATGTCCGAGACTACTATCAGTCTGCATATCGTGAATTGTCCCTTGAAACCTGTTCATTACATGCAATGACGTGCGAGTGACCACACGCCTACCAGTGCCTCACACAGAGCAAATGCTCGCTCATCGCCGTCAGCAGGTTCCATGCCTCCTTACGCTTCATGTCTTCCTGCAACGCGATCCTCTCCAGTGCTGTTTGCCCGTTGAAATACTTCCACATGGCCTGCCACGCCTTGGCGACCTTGGGATCCTTGAATCGCTTGCCGATGGCCGCGAGGTAGAGGGACTCCTTGCCCGTCGCCTTCTTGGCATCTACGATGATGTAGGGGGGCATTCGCGCCAGATGCGGCGCCTCGTTGGTTGAGGGGTGATCCGTCGCCGTGGGCGGTAGCTTGCGCGCGTGCGCCGTGGCCTTTTCGGCCGCCTCGCGCTGCGTCTTCTCTGCGATACGTTCTAGCCGTGCCTTTTCTGCCGTTTGCTCAATGTGCGACGGGATGTAGGTCGCGATACCGCTGCCGAAACCGCCACTTCCACTGCCACTACTGCTGCTCCCTGTCTCAGACTTCCCGTCTGCCGCGTCGATTGCTGAGCCACTCAGTGGGTTGCTGGTACTGAGGGAGGAAGCATTCTCGGCCTTGCGCAATTCATCGCTTTCTAGCTTGTGCTCGACTTCGTAGATTATCTCGGGCCAGACAACAACGTAGGCGAATGTACACAGTTGAGTCACCCATGCACCACGCATGAGCCACGCGAGCATAGCGAGGTACGTGGGCCGATGAGC